CCCCAAAACCCCAAAACCCCAAAACCCCTTACCATCTTTAATCCATCGAATCTTCTTAGGTAAAAATATTTTAAAATAAAATGGCTAAAGGCTTTCTTCCAAGAGTCTCTTCATATTGTACAAGCACACTAAAGTCCTTTGACATGTACAACTCTCTTAACCTCTAGGTATCCTCACACAGTTAGTTTCACCTTCAAAGGCCAAGAGTAAGCTTTCTCATCTCTCCAAGTTCCCACACAGTCACCTTGATTTCCCTTATAGAGAATTCAAGACAATGATTGGAGGCTTCATCTCCTTTGTCATAAAGGTGGTAATCTTGTACTATGCTTATGTGATGGTCAGACTGATGCTAGGTAAATTTAGAGGCATCGTACGGGATTTTTAGACCATTTTTTTGCTTTAGAACGTAAATAATACCCAGAAGAGTGTGAATTCAGTGGTAAAAGGTAACCAAGAGTGATGAGGGTGTAGATATTTTAAATGACCCAACTGCATTTCATATGAAGTAAGTAGAGAGGTGATTGGAGTAGCGGAACGGACTTTTCGTTTGGTTTCAAGTTGTTGGTTGGAGAAGAGGAAGAGATAGAACTTGAAGGAAACGAGTATTTTGAGGTAGAGATTGTAAGGCATACGAAATTAAGTAAGAGATTTGTTTTAAAAATATTTTTGGGGTTGTAGATTTTCAATGGTATAGCTGACGGAACTTTACAAAGAGAAGTTGTTCCTTTTGCTAAGTGTGGAAATACACTTTTTAAATACTACAACCAAACAGAGGTAAATATTTTCTTCATAAAAATAGGTAAATTCGATAGGGATCAATGATTTCTATTGCCCCACTACATCTGACTTTGTCATCCAAGGAAACGCAATTTCAAAGGATTTTACAAATTTTGAATTGAATGTAAAATATTGCACTGATGAATGGCCAACAGCTTGTCCTTCAGATTTAAACGATAAGATAAATAATCTGATAGTCAGAGTTCCTTTTGTAAATAGCTATTTCGACTTTGATGATTATAAAAATCCTGTGAAGACCTATATTGATGGTAGATTCGATTTGTACATGATCGACACTCTTTATCAACAGCAAAATGCCTTTATTCAGTATTTTTAAGTGTAATTGTTAGAGTTAATGAAGCTGAAATTCAAGACAGCTACTTTGCATATCAGCCAGGAGGTAGTAACAAAGAGTTCTTTGAGATTGAAAGGGTTGATACAAACCTTATTTCAAGCCAAGTACATCAAGGAGAGCTTCTGCGTAAAGCGACAGATTATAATTTTAGATATTAACTTTGCAAAAGATCCTGCCTCTAAATCATACGAAAGAACTGTCTTTAGCTTCATGGAAGTCACTGGAAACATAGGAGGCCTATTCGAAATCCTTCAGATAGCTGGAGGCTTCATTGTTGGAATATTTTCAGGCAGACTCTTCACATTTTCTATGCTCAGTAGTTTATATCACGTCGATATGCCTTCAAATAGCAAAGGTATATTGTATTTAAGACAGCTAATTTAGTAAAGAAAGTTAATGAAGAAACTAAAGATAACTCTTACAAGGTAAATTAGAGACAAATCTATAGATATGAATGACCAATCGCGGGTGTAAGAATTAATCAATTTATCCAGTCCATCAGAATTTTAAATGATATTTTGATGATATAGATGCAGGTAGATCAAATAACTTAGAAGAAGTAGCTACAAAAGCTCATAACCGGATGAGAAGTAGGATCAGATATGACTGGAATCTCTCTGATTTTCTTGTAAACCTTTGTAGTTTATTTTCATGCTGCTTTTGAAGATGTATTAAGAGACGTTATGAGCTGTTTGAAAAGGGTGAGAAGAAGTTCATAAAGGAGTTTGATGCAGTTTATTATGCTAGAAACATGAGGAACCTCAACACCTTGGTCACCTCCATGATGGATGATAGTGAGAAAGTAATGATCACGTATCAAAAGCAAAACGCTATCCCTGCTGAAAGTGATGAAACCAGTGAAAATGAGGATGAGAATTTTGATGATGTTCCAAAGATGTTCTCCAGTAAGATACTCAAACAGAAGCATATTGAGAAAATAGATTTTTTTATGGTATGAAAATTAGGAATTCAGTTTTAGAGAGAGTATTCGAAGGAAAAGTGGACTGAAAAGGACTTCAGACTTCTCAACGGGGTCTTTAATAAGCAACAGTTAACAAGTAAAATCTAGAATTATCATTTGTAGATCAGCAGATACAGAAGATGGAGATAGACCAAGATTTGGATTGTAAGTGATATTATGCTGATTCCTAGTGTCTAATATACAACATCCTGAGGAGAACGAAGATCATAGTAATGTAGGAATTACAGAAAGAGAGTAGGTTCATCTCACAATCTTTAGGGAGAAAAAATTGACTGAAGAAAACTGCAATTCACTCCTAAAACTGCCAATGAGTCCTCGTCCTCCAGGATTTCTAGGAAACAGTAAGATCTAGTGGCACCCTAGCCCATTTCAGGCATATTCTTTACCCCTGGGGTTTTGGGGTTTTGGGGTTTTGGGG